TACATTCATTATCTTAATCATCGCGATATTTTGTTATTGTTATAAATACGATTTTCGACATGTAGCAGAAACAAGTTATTCATCTTTTGAAACCAAACGACAGTTGCTCTATAAAAAGAAAACAATTCTATTAGATTGTCCGATAAACTATACTTGAAAGAATTATAAATCTACAAAAATTATTCTCTACTTTTAGAATTATGTACAATTGAAATTTCTATTGAATAATTTATTAAATAAATAAAATTCTTACTTTTCTTGTTGAACTTATGTAAATCTTCGGCAAAATATTCAGCAAGTAAATATACTGTTGATACAAAAATTGTAATTTTAAATCTGCATTCATTGTATCGACACAATAGCAATGTTAACAAACCTTTTTGTCATTCGAATGACTATTTGCTAATTACTCGCACATTATAAATGGAGCGATCGTATTCTCGATGGATTTCTGTAATATGCTTAGGCCATGTTTCGAAGATGCTAAACGACTATGTGGAATATCAATTTGAACATTACATAATTTGTAGGGAGAGAAAATGTTCGATGTGTCCATTTGAACTCTTACTTTTTCATACGTGTACGTTTTTGTCCCGTTGTCATCGTAGCTCTTCGCATAAGTCTTCGATTTTTATATAGATATCTCGATTATTTTAACAACGTAGTGGCAGTCGTGTCATTGTAAGAAAAAATTATACGAACGATATAATAGGGTAGCGCGCGATTAATTCGCTAGCGCTCGTGATCACGTTCTTCTCAGGTATTTAACATGTTTGTAAATCATGTAACTCCTTCCCGTAATCACTACTAACGAAGATAGTCGGTCCCCAATGAAAAAGCTTGTACAATAAACATCTTTCCGTGTCTCCTCGACTATCGTCGACGATTAATTTCTCTCACGAGAGTCAAGAAGTCCATACCACTCATTGACGAATATACGTATTTATATTATATTTTTTAGGCAATCGCTTTTTATCATTTTACAAAGTTTAGGAAGCAATACGTCATTCCAAAATTTCTCGAATTGCACGCACAGAATTTTTTGTAAATTTAAATTTTTTCAGACTCAAATTAAATGAAATGATCAAGTCTCCTCAAATTTGGGAAAATATTATCTATTCTTCATATTTTAATGAATAATATTATATATTTTTATCTTATGACGTTTATTTCTAATATAAATTATAAAATGAATGTAAAATGAATTTCGATTTTCAAAGTAGAAAAATGAACGTAAGTTTCTAATATTCTCCATCGCAAAAGCTAAAGTGAATATCTTATAGCTAAAGTGCGCATAGAAGAAATATGTAGATATGCGGATATGCGGATGCAGGGAAAAAGGAGGAAGTGCTTTTCAAATATTATATACTTCTATAAGGATGGGAATTCTCTATTTGCGTTATTACGTAAGAAGATTCATATGTCCCGTAACACTACGCGCGGTCTCGTTCACTATTCAAAAATCTTAATGTAAAATTATGATATTTAAGAGACGGGAAGGATATTCAAAGATGTTAGGAAGACAGTTCCTGATATTCGATTTCGATGATCCTTGAAGTAATTCTACAATATATTGCCAACATAGTCGAGCGTAATATAAGCTAGAAAACGAAATGTGCAGTGATCTTTATTGCTAATGCAACTCGAATTAATGTTATATAAATATCACTGCAACGTATCCTTAGGCTTCTCTCGTCGAGAATGTTCGTGGGTGTTAATAATGTGCGTTTCTATCTAGAGTACAATCAGGTATTCTCGATACGTTTACTCGAAGTAATTCGAGCAGTATTACGACGATTTATTGTACGAGCGATTTTCACGCGCGACTTGCCGTTTGATTACAAGAAGAAACTACGTGTGTAACGGAATATAGGTATATTCTCTATATAATGTACGGACAAATAACCATTTAATTCTTGACTACTTTATTATTGCAACAAATAAAAGACGGAGAGAGAAACTACGATCGTGGAAGAGTTGAATGTATTGCGGTGTGCATTAAAAAGAGAAAAAAAAAAAATCTCCTTTATGATCACCAGGACAGTATTGTTGATCGTTACATGTGCATAAAAAGCTTTGAAAATAAAATGATTTGAATCGTATCTGATTGATATTCTATTACTAATTCCTCTATTTGCTATGCATATTATTTTATTTTTTTATTTATACACTGTATTTATAGTCTTTTATTATTTTGATTTAACGAATATAATATAGTGTTAAAAATATTGATAAACATTTTGTATAACAAAATATTGTTAATATAGTGAGTTTGTTTATAACAACTACTTGCGTTTATATCTTATTTTCAAATTATAATAGTTTTTAATGTTTTGGAAATGTGAAATTGGATGTCTATTTAAGGAATAGTTTCAAAGTAACGTGTGAAAGTGAAAGTAATGGCCGAAAAGGGAGTTTGACGAAAAAAAAGATGACGATGCAACGCACGCCGCTCTTCGTAAAACTCGAAGAAGTGATATGCGTTCATCGTGAAAGGACACAACGGTCATGCAGATCTTAGGAGACGGGAAACTGGTCCACCCACTGGGAATTCCAGATTTTTTTTTCATTCAGTGATTGTGGATTGAGGCACACGTATCGAAGCCAAAAGCGCTACATTTTATTAAAAATGACTTAATTACTATCGTCATTGAAGTTAGTTATTTGATAACAACAGCGCGTGTATGAATTAAAATACTGCTATAAAGATAATATGAATATACGAATCACAATTTTTGTTTGATTTATAAAGATTTTTGTGAATATTTTGCGAAAGATTACATAACAAGAGCAGTTTTGTTAAAATATTGAAAACTTTACAGATCTAAAATTAAATTTTGTTAAACTCATCAAATAAATTATGTAGGACGCTGAAACTGGTTGCTATATAGAATGTCAAAACTTTGCAGCATTGCATATTACATTTAAGTGTTCTACATAATAATAATAATTTTGATAGTCCAACAAAATTATTTTAAAATCTGCATTTAGCTAAATTTTTAGATACTTTAGCAAAATCGTTTTTTTCATGTAAGGAAGCGATAATTATGTATATGTAATTACTTGATGTCATCATCGTACGCAGATATGATGTCTGAATGTTTAGTACGGGTACTTGACCCGTGCTCTTTAAATACGGAACAGCGATTCAACGGACAAAGATAGCATCACTACGAGGTACGAGAGCAAGATCTATTTGTATGGCTGGTGGAGTGCTCCAGCTGGACCTAATCGACTTGCCGCACGCAAATGAGAGGAAAATGAAAAAATATATTCTACACATAGAAAATTTAATTATCTAAACGGTCCAGCAAAAGAACGTTGAAATTCATTTATTGATATAACAGAATAAATTTGATATTTTAACATAATATTAAAATCTCTTGTCTCTACACATATTGCTAGTAATTTGACAGTCTGTCAATAAATTAATCAATTTATAAGTCTTGCAATTACTAAGTGCACCAGTTGGAGCCAATCGAGTTGCTGAATTTATGCTTACATGGCCAGGTCATTGCCACTGCTATGCAGTTGCTTTATTAAACTTTGTTGACTTTGGCACTTGACGAGAAACAAGTCATCATTAGACTGCCTGTTGCTGATTGGTTTTATGCCATATTGCAAACATTTCAGGCTACCGTTTAATTAAGAGACGTGTATGTAATTTACATACATAATGTATACACTAAATAATTATGAAAGAAAATTGTTATAGCCGCATTATAATCAGTATAATAATATAATTATCGACATTTAGTCCATATAACTTTTTTGTTGTATGATAGAAAACATTTTCCTGATAAAATAAAATTAGTAGTAACTAATTAGAAGAAAAATTGTGAAGAATTTTATCAGGAGATTTCAGCGACAAATCTTTACAGAAAAGATTTTTATTTTAAAATATACAGCCTTCGGAGCTATCGGTTTTCTACCTGGGACAAAGCTAAGAACCTCCGACTTCGTCGGGTCACGTCGGTGCCAGGTAGTGGGGTGTAAAGTTCCGAACGGCCCTATTCAGGGCCGAAGATTTGCCAATGGAATGCTCCTTTTTTTAATGTCACCCATTTCATTCTTGACATATTCTTGCTACTTTTTAAGTCACTTTTAAAATTTTTTTTTACATATCGTATTTATAGTTCTAAACCAATTTATTTCGTTCAAATATTTGCTCTTAATTTTAAAAATCATAGTTATTTTATGTTTTTTCATTGAGGTATTCAGCATTATTTCTTCAATATTATTACATCATTTTTAACAAACATTTTCATGAAGTTAAAAAAATTAAATATTAAAAGTTAAATCAAGAAAATCTATTAATATTAATATTATATAAAGTAATTTTATATAACAAAGATATCCACGCAAGTTAGATTAAGAGATGAAAAAATGATCTTCTTTTTACTCTTAAATGGCAAAACTTTTTAATCAAATGTATAATAAAAAGCGAAGCGTTTCTATCATTACGCTAAAACGCTTGCTGTGAAAGTAAAAAATTGAATGGATTGAAATATAAATCCAATTATTAAATTAAATAAATATAAATTCAAATAGTAAAAATCTCCTATCGAACAAATTCAATTAGTGAATATTACTTTAAAATTAAATGAATAATATATTTATAGATGAAATACATATTTTGCTGAATAGGAACGCAAAGAGCAAAATCAAAATCCGCGAATCCGTCCCTGACCCTACCGATCCCTACGGCAAGTAGTGGGTCCGAGAATTTCCACCCCGTCTTGTCTCTTTTCCTCGAGTACATGGGGAAGGGGGGGGGGCAACCTGTCGAGAACTCCAGCATCCTCATCCACTTCTTCCTTCTCTCTTCGATTCTCTTGGTGCGCATAGCCGCCCTTTTACCCGCGTCTCTTTTTCCGCGTCTCTTGCTGCGAACGGTGTATTATGCTGCACCGATGGAAGGGGCCAGAGGCCGAAGGAGAAGGAGAAGAACCAGTCGTGAACCAGAACCGTCGGTCCACAGAATCTCCCAGTCACCTCTCCGAGACTGTGCGGGGACCAGTGTGAGTGGAAATTGTCGCGCGCGATCTCGCCGACAATTGCGACCGTACAGGATCGATCGATCGGCGTAAAGTCGCCGCCGTCCTCGTCATCGTCATCGTTATTGTAGCGTACGATCGCGCGCAGATCGATCGGGACGATGATGCGGGTGGTGGCGAGTGAAGATGAAAAGAATTAACAGGTTAGTATTATCATTTTCGTGCTTCTGGAAGTAAGATAGGTCCGTTTGTGAATGATTTATCTGAAAGAAAAAACAGGTAAAAGTCAAAAACAGGTTGAAAAAAATCATTTGAGAAAACGAATGCTATCGTTTAGAGATACATATTTAATCAAAGATTATAATTATAATTCTTTAGTTCACTTCGAATATATATATATATATATATATGTATATATATATATATATATATTTCAACAAAGATAAAGAAATTTTTTGCAATAAAAAAATTATCAATCATTTTAACGAATAATAATTAAATCTTTTTTTATTCAACATGTCAGAATTGAAATGCGTTTTATAATTAAAAAAAAAAGTTTTTTCTAAATCGTAGCTCAAACGTGGATTAGATTTATTTAAATCGAAATTAAGGTTTTCTTCTATTACGTTAATATTATAAATATCATAGTGGACATCTCCTAAAGACAGATATAGTTGACATTCTGCATAAAGAAAGATTAATATTTCAACTAAGATATTTCAGTTAAAAGCATAATGTTCACTAAACGATTATTATATTACGAAGGCTTCGATTAGCTTACTAAAACGATTAGAATCTTAAATTAAGATCTAAAGCTAATCTTAAGCGCACCCTATTTCTACTAACTACCTGACAGCAATAATGTAAATTAAATTTATTCGCTGTGGCATGTTATAATAAGCATCCGGGATAGATTGCGGCGATTTTGCCGCGTTGTGTTATTATTTCATAACCAGAGTCACGAATCTTATTAAATGCATTTATTGATTTAATTGAATAATTATTTCACGCATGCTGTGTGCTTTATTGCACACATCAGTTAATCGCTGGAACGTCGACCAAAGAGTCAATAACCCGTGCTATATGAAGTCGATTATGTTATTGTTTTACGATAAATCATTATTTAGAAATGGCGTATTAATGTCGCAATAACATGATACATTGTTTGTATCGTATAATATTCGTATTAAGAAAAAAAAAGTTCTCGAGACATTATCATTACATATATTGTTTTTTTGTAATAAAAAAATTTAATTTTTATTGACTTTTTTCTTTTTATTACCTATGGAATTTGAAATATTGGTTAAATATTCTTTCTCAGTAATACGGTCATTATCTGACGATCGCATTAGCCTAAAGGGATTATCAATGTGATCAGCTTTGCACGATATATATATATATATATGATTATCGTATTTCAATCGCAGACAGGACACCCACGACAATTTCCAATTTGCATATTGCGCTACAGCGTTAGAACGTCTATTTACGAACGCTTGCATCGTTATTTATATTCTAGATATGCTTGATGGCAACTTATCTCTTTATACGTATATCAAACATGTTATCAGACACCCTTATGATAGGTCCATATCTCATATATTGGTTTTATTACGAACGTTATTTTTGAACGTAAATCTTTTGATAAGGCATTTCTGCACGCAATCACTTTATTATATTAATTCAAATTGCCAAACGGTATACGGATCTTTTTATCATAAAAAAACAAATATATTTTTGACAAACAGATATGTCAAGAGAGATACTGTCGAGCATGTTTTGCTGGTTAACTGGTGGTACACTAATCTTTCCTACAAACCTATGACACTCCAAAGCGTGCACCATCTCCTTTATAAGAGCACGCGCATGTTAAACATCGAGTCACGATCATTACGAATGACAGCAGTGTGATTAAATCTGCAAGCGTAATGTAGGAAATGTTATTAATAATTGGAACGCATAAGTGATTGGCATTTACTAAATATTTACTAAATATCTCCTTTTGAAAACAAAAATTGGGTATAAAAATGAAAATCTGAAATGTGAAAAATACTTTCTTCTCTAAATTCTTGATTTTTATTCAACTTAATTCGAAGTAAATGCAGCAATGAAAAAATTATTTACGTTACTCTCTTATTAATTAAAAAAAGAAATTTGAAATACATACAAAAAAAGTTTCGTAATAATTTTAATATTTGCAGAAATTATTTGCTAAATATATAGATGAAATAAAATTTATAATTCAGAAAATAGAATTAATAAATAAAATTTTACAAGAATTAATAAGAAAATTGAAATTAACAACATACAGCAAAAGATAGATTTAGAAATTTAAAAAATATGCCTTCTCTTCCAAAGAAAAAATTTGAACAAATTCGAAATAACAAAAGATCATCGATTGTAATAAATACTAATGACTTTACAACAAAATAAACATACATCTACATACATCTTGTAGTGTTCCACGCCCGTTTGTGTTCATATCTTTTTCAGGAATGAAGGCGCGCAGCAGCCTCCAGCGTGTGTGCGATTCTTTCTGTTTCACATAATTAATGCTCTCGCAGGCTGGATTACACAGGCCGCCATAATTGCCCGGGGATTAGTTCGCCATTAAAGCGAAGACAGCGTAAATGTCGTTTCCGCGTAGAACGAATAAGCATGATTTAACTGCGCTTTACGACACAATACTCCTACTCGCCGTGATAACAGCGCGTTGCGCCCCGAAGCGATAGTGAGGAATACTCGAGAAGATAGTTCGCCATCGTCATTTACATTTCGATTAACACTCGGCATCGCAGAAACGAATATTTTTGCACTTCGGCGAAGTTTACGCAATTGTCGGAGAGTCTAACGTATAATGTTGCATGCCATAAATGTAAAAGCTGAAACATCGTGTAAGACACGCGACGTAATCCATTTATTTAGCACAAACATCAAAAGCGACTGTTTTATTTTATGACACGTGGGTAGGAAGAAAGTACAATTGCTAATAAGATAAAAAATAGAAATATGTAATTATATTAACTCGATAATGCGTAGATAATTGAATACACTTTCGAGCTATTTACGCCAAACCGATAATTCGAACGTAACACGTATATGTATTAATTTGCGTGGGCTTTTACTATCGATGACATCGTCACAACTCGTCATTTTCTATCGGCCATTAATGAGATATTTCCATATAACGAGCTCTCGCTGCGCTTGGAGAATGCAGTAGCAGGTGCAAACAAACCTCATCTCCGTCTTTTTTCCCGCCTGATGGAGCCGATCTCTGTGATCCATGTGCGTCAATGCACATGTGCAATGTTACATAACAGATGTTGCGACATCCAGTCTATTTGGTTTGTAACAAAAGAGAGTATTTAGCACACAATCACTCGTATGCCATTCCTATGTTAATGTGCAGCATAAATTGCAATATCATTCATCGAAGCTCCGTGTTCTTAAAAAATAGATGCAATCATACTTGGAAATTATAAATTTCTTTCTCTATTAAGAAGTTTCAATTCATTCTGTTCATTAAATTATTGAAGTTGCTTTGATTGAACAATCATTTTTTAATATACATATAGAATTTCATTGTCAAAATATTAATAACACTGTTTGACAAAAAAAATACCAAAACAAGGTCATTTCTCATAGTTTTTTGGACTGATTATGAATTCGATTTCCAAATTGCTTCACAATTTTGAGAAATTTACAGCTTCAAAGCTGTAAAAAATTAATTTACAAAATAGCTTCCAATTTTATGTTTATTTGAATTAAGGATTTTTTTTCGTATTATACAAGCATCTAAAGAATTTTTTAAAATTCTCCGGTGTTAAAAAAAAGTTATTTTTTGTTGTGCAATAAATATTAAAAAATAAATAAATTTTAATAATAAAGAGATATAAAAAAAATGAAAACAAATCGAAACTAATACACATCGATACTAATATTCGTATATTTAGAAAATGCAAATGTCGGTCCGATTTCACTTTCTTCTTAAGTTTTCTAGGACGAAACGTGTGCACTCTCATGATACCAGCTCACGTGTGGATGCAGCTGTCGTCATAAGTAACAGATTTCTCATCGAACCATTAAGTAGCTATTTCTTCCATCTGCCTAGCAATCTCTGAAATACATCCACACAACATTCATAGAAATAAACATAGACATGGCAAGTTTTTATTTTGTAAATGTTATTTTTATTTTTACGTGCATATGCAAATAAATTAATATATGTAATATTTACTTTATTTATTGCATTTTATTTTCTTCAAGTATTTAAATTTTCTCGAATCTCTTCTAAAAATAATACTTATTTTTATGAATTACCAGTTACATTCGCGTTTGCTTTAACGTATAATAACGTACGTGATGGGCATTTATGAATGTAAAATGTAAAAAGTGAGTAACACGTTATTCGCAATGCCAAGACCTTGACATTATTTCTGAGCTCGATTAAGTCGTGTAAATAATCGCAAGCTACGCTTTTGACAACTATGGAAATATCTCTTTGAGACACCGAGAACGACGTCATCGCACAAAACATAATCATGTTGGCATACGCTTCTCGGTAATCTACGTAATCCTTTCATGAAGTTTCTTATTTGCGAGTATTCATTTTTCATTAGTTGTATTCATCTTTCATTTCATTGTTCATGAAGCAAATATGCTAATCAATATAAGAGGAAAATGCGCTACTCCTTGTTATGTGTAAATTTAAATTAAATCAATTGTGCGGATCTTTTTAATTAAGCTTATACGGATCGGCAATTCGTATGTACATGTAATTGATATGATTTTAATTAATTACATCCATTGTAGCTAATGCAAACATAAAATGATTCTTTAATTCAATTAGATTAAATTAAAAGACGGAACGCCTAAAGAGAACAAATTAATATATAATACTTATTATTCTCGACTTTCGCATTCACATATTTACAATAATCAAATTCCAAAGATTACGTATTAACAATACTATTTCAAATTCCTTTTTTTACGCAGTCTATTCTTTTGACAAAGAAACGGTTGATATTCCTGACGTGGTCATAATTTATTTTACATGAACCACTTTTCACTCACATGTATATGGTGCTATAAACAAATACCGTTGATGTGTGATCGCTTCACTGTATGAAAAATGAAAAATCGATCACGAGCAACACGACCATACATGTACAATAATGAGAGGCTCAAGTAGAATACATCCGGC